GGTTTTCTCGAGGCTGCTCTTCAAGAGCGATAGCTGTGTCGTAGCATTATTGAAGCTAATATATTCTACAGTATATTAATAAGGCTGATCCCTCTATGATTGTCACAAGAGGACTTTTGTCCTTTCCTGTAAATTGGGACAACAAGAAATTGAGACCAGTCAGATGTGATTACTTCCCGTTACGAGATGGTACCTTAGGTCTCAGTCAATCTCACAGATAAAACTGGATCACCATCCTTAAAATTCTCAGGAGTTAACTTATCAGGTCCCTCTGTCATCCTTCGCTTTAAATTTCTTATAGCCTTTTTAACTGCATTAAGATTTGGAGGACTTGCATTAACTTGCCATTCAGATTGACTGAAGGTCGTGGGAAACCGGAGTGTGGCTGGAGACCAGTTGAGCTGATCCCTAAAGTGTTCTGCCCATCGATCCAATTTCATGGATTGAGAATGAATAATAAGCCCATCCATTTCCAAGATAGTCTCACTTACAGTTAGACTGCTAATGCCAGCTTCCTTGATAGGTCTGAACAGTTGTTTACTGTTGCCTATCACTGCTGCCTTTTCCACCTCTCTCGCTTTCGCTAGCCACCATTGTTCGCAATTATTGCGTAAGCATTTTATCAGCCGGCACCTAAGCTGACTCCTCTCCTCATCGTACTCAGAGCCGTATGGGATGAGTTTCCGAGTATCTGTCTGTTTGGTAGATGCTACTGAAATCCGCTGCTTATCCTTAACCTTTAGGTTAACCTCACTGGCAGACATCACTGCTGTTTTCACAGCTTCTTTGATATCATACAAACTGCCTCAAGATTTGCATCACTTACATGGCCGCCTAACCGTTTTTCTAGTTCCTGAAATATATTCCTTAGCTTTATGATCATTAAGTGCAACCCCAATAGGTTTCCTTGCAGTGCCTTTTTTTACGTCCAGCAAGATGCAGATAGATACGCGCTCTTCATGTGCTCTAGAATGAGCGACAGTCTTCTATCGAGCCGCTTCAACGATGGCTGATAACCATGTGATTTAGTTGGGTTCATCATTATGACGAATTCGGGGGTCGCCATTTCAGAAGATTGTTTTCCTTATGTTTACAATTAGTTTCTGTTAGAAATAGGTTGTTATCTGACCATATCTGGTGCAAACGGCTGCCACAAAGATAGAATCCACCCAGGTGTCTTTTCTTTTCTCTTGGTTTGCTTGCTTGAGCATTAAAGTCATCAGGTACTATTTGTATATCAAAGTCCTAAACTTTTTGAAGCAGGTCCAATATCTTCCTATAAAATTCATCTTTCACCTCGTCCGGGTCGCAGACAGCAACTATCTACTTGGATCCAGTCTAAGAGAGCCGGTTCTGCCCCAGGACCGTCAGTGCTATACCTAGCCCAGCCTGGCCAAAGAAAGCAGAAGTAGGGCTTCTAGTTACACGAAGCGTAAATCTTAACGGTTCTTTATTTTGATATGGTGAGGTCGAAAATGCAGAATACATAAACGACGCGAGGTTACAGAGTTCTAGCTAAGGAAGACTGTTGACTCATTTCGAACGAGATTCGAACATTGAAAGCTCCAACATGTAGTTTAGAGCGTGGTTTCATGAGAGCAGCAATATCGTTTCATCCAATCAAATTATTTGTATCAGCGGCGCTATGTGATAAAGGAATGTGAGGTTTGGTCATGCAGATAAGAGGTTTATTAAGTGGTATAGAGAAGATTTTATGTTGACCGATTCGGTCTCGTTTGCTGTTACGAGCATGAGGTCGGACGTCATTTCTTGTCTGCCCAAACCATGGAGAGAGACCTGGGAGCGTGTCTACAGAGCCCAAGGGACAACTGCCTGAGATCGATCGTAGATGGCCTTTTTATGGGAAGTTTTCAAGTGTCAGCCTCACTTTTCAAAAGGACTTAACGCCAGAGACGAAGGTCCGTGGGTGTAAGATGAGGTGTGACATTTTCAGGGGCAACATTTTCTAACCTCTTCCTTCCTTGTAAGAAGGCAGAACCGCTGCTGATTCTGGTTGTCGGAAGGAAACACCTTCCTGCACTCACTTATCTCTACAGTCAGCAGTACAACTTCGCCCCCAGACTTTGAGTAGCTGCTTTTAGTCTCATCGTTCTCCAGTCGACCTACCTTGCGTGGTGTTCCTGTCAATCACCATAGGCAAGACCAACCACCACATCAAGATAGCAACTACGGTTCGTGAAAATTAACCTGTCTTCCTACAACCAACTTGTACACTTACCTATCATGTGTAGTTATGTGATCTATTTCATTATGATTATAAACTCGTAAATTACCTTGATTGGCTTAGCATATTTGTGTAAATATTCATGTAAATTAGAGTAGAGCCTTATAACGATCTAAATGAAAAGCTTAAAATGTTAGAAATTAAATTTGAATAAGCCATGTAGCAAAGCTCAGTTCCTGCCAGTAAAAATAACTTCTTATACGTCACACCACATTTATTTTTTACCACTGTTTATTTTAAGATATCGACGGCTAGATGGTAGTCAACTGATATTCACATCTTTAATATCAATTTACAAAGTATTAGTTCAAAACTGTGCTTTATAAGGATGTCAGTTTAATAAGAAGGATTGAAGCTAAAAACTAATTCTTTTCTGTTTGAGTGTACTGATTAACTTCAATGTTTTCACTTCAACTGTTTTGCTTATTTAAGTTTTCACACGAATCTGTAACTCGTTTTTATCATCTAAAGAATGTACAAAAGACTGATGGAAATCATACATTAGGTTATCTTCATGTTACATCTTTCAATATGATGAATATACATTGGTTAGATTTTCCAATTTGTATTTAGTTTATAAAACTAGATAATTAGATAATCGATAAAAATTAGATGTTTTCATCAACTTTGAACTTTGATCAAAATGTATTCGTTGTTTCACCACTAAACGTTAGGAGTATCCGATTTTTCTTTATTGTATAAAGATATTTTCTTTTGTTTTATCATTGAAAAACTTTGGATTCTCTGAATTCTATCATCAAATAAACGAAATTGACCATACCGTTCGAAACGTGAAAAACACCTAGGTCATACTTCTCGGATCAACTCTCTCTTCAAATTGTACTCTCAAAACAGTTGTAGTTTAACACAAAAATTAAGTAAAAGATAAATATAGATTTGACTGTTTATCTTAACATTTTTGTATGATGCAGATCAGTCTGTTTTTATTTCCAGTCCTACTGTTTATAGTTGGGAAGAGCAACCGCATAATGCAAAGTAAAAATATAAAGGCTGATAAGAATAAAGATTTGTTGATTCTTCTAACATACGTACCACAAACAAGTTTTCTATAAACGTTGTCAATAAATCAAATACAATCATTTATTTAACGATTTTACACACATTTGATGATGAATCAATAAACATCATATAAGTGCGGAGATACAGAAAGATTCGTCAAAGTACATACAGAGTTCGCATAGAATAAGAGTATAAACTTCACACTAAGTAAAAGTTCATACCTGTTCTGCTGAATTAAATTTACATGAACCTAGTACAAATATATCGACGTGAAGTAATATTACACTACAAAATATAAAACCAATTTTCTATTGACTAAAATATTATACTAATAATAAAACAATGTCGAAATATCACATTTGAACAAAACTGCTGTCATAAAGTGTCGAAACCGAGTCAGATAAAACATGATTTCGCCTTCTTATCCCTACTTATCATAAAATCTAACTAACATTCACTTAAATAACTCGTCTTAAATCTTTGTTACTGCTAGAATGCTTGAACAATCCCCTCGTACTACAAGTCAGATTGTCTATAAATCATTAACTTGAGTTGATATAAAATTAGTCTAAAATATTATTATTCATTAGTAAAATTAATTAGATTTTATGTCTATAAATAGTTATATAAATATATTACCACGATATCTTATTCTGCAGGATCATTTTACAGATTTTTTGAATTAATACTAAACAGATAAGAAATAAAACAATAGTTTTAAAATAAAAAAAATTAGGTTGAATAGTCGATCAACTGAAATCTGCACATATTTGAAGATGTGAACTATGTAATTTGATTTTGTTCTTCATTAATATCAGTCAGTCTTTTAAATTAGTTTGAGAATATGATTGATTCGAAAAGAACCCAATTTTGAAAGATTTTACATCCTCGCTTGTTAGTTAGTCAAAGAATAAAATCATTTCTTGATAAAAGTTATCTTTAAATGTCTATTGAATGTTAAATCATCAAATATTACTTATTAACAAGTTTAGGTCCCATTGTTTAACTGAATGAAAATGAATTTTGTGTAGGCTGATCTGTATCGAATTTTTTTTGAAATATCATCTTTTCTAGATACTTCCATACAAGCTAATTTTGGTAGAACTTTGTCAATCAAAATAAATGATAAATTTTTCTGAATAACTTAAATATATGTAACCTTATTTTTGACAAAACATTTTTCACAGTAGGTGATTTGAACAATCGCAGAATGTTAAACTTAAAATTTGTAACAGAATAATATCAGGTCAGTTTTAAGTCAAAAATGTAAAAATTAAATGTTCGTCAATTTATAGATTAATGAAACGAGGATGATATTTTATATTAAAATGTTTTCTTCATGTTTTTCAAAGGGATTTTAAACACGATATTTTTAATGAATAAAATCATTATTATGAATTTCAGTTGAAGTGCTTAATCACTTGGAATATCAGTGAATTTAGAAAGAAAATATCTATCTCATGTGCAGTTTGATAAAATGTTAGAGTTACGAATTTCAAACTTGATATTTTTGATAAATCCAATGAAATTTCAAAAATGTTCCTAGCTAAATGACAAATTTTGCTACTGAATGGAGTAAGTAGTTAAATAAACGTGTACAGTAAGACTGAGTTTCAAAAAAATTTTCATCCTAACACATATCGATGTAGAATTAAATAATGAGTGAATGTACCAATAACAAGTTGTTTTAATTTAACATGATAAATCAATCATCAATAAAACAAGTATAACTTACTTTACCGATGATACTGCCAACTTCCTAAAATTAAATAATGGACAACACAATGAACTATTCAATTTGTAAACTTTTAAATTGTTATAGTGAACAATTTTAGTAATGCATATTTTCTATCGAAGTTTAATAAAATATAAATTAACCAGCATGAAAAAAGAAATTCAACTTGACATTTATTATTATTTAGTATTGACTGTAGCAGATTAGAACAATAATTTTTTTTGAAATATTCTAAAATTAATATTCTTGTAAATTATTTGAACAGGTACATTGTATTTACATGTTAGTCAAGGGAGAATTGGTACTGTACCGAAAAATACTGGGAATCGTATGCAAATTTAGCGATTACGTAATCTTCAGCATTCATCATAGATTAGTCTATTACATTTAAACTATACCTATTTATATCATTAAAATTAATGTTTTTTGAGAATGTTCTAGACTTTGTTGTTGTATAGTTAATATTGTAGAGTGTCACATGAAGTTAACGTTATCATTGACTCTAATTAACAGAATAATATTTGTACATATTAACGTAGAATTTCAATTAAGAAACAGATGTTGAAGTTAATGAATAAAAAATAAATCCTTTTACCTGTTTACGAAAAAAATCGTGATTTCTTTAAAGTGGAATAAACCTAGTTACAATTAGATTGAACGCTAGATTCATTCAGTTAAAATTTAATTGTTTACTTATGGTTCATTATTATCTTGTCTACTACATAATTTAGTTTTTATTCGGCATTTATTAGAGTTACTTAAAGTGAGGTTTTAGACTGTTTCGGAATCAGCTAGTGTGTAACTTTTACAAAACATCAACCAACCTGATGATATGTACTAGATAGTAGCATTTTAATGAATCACAATACATTATTGAACTGTACTTAGTATTTTTCACCATAACTATTTACTAAATAAGTTCGTAAATGTTGTGTAAGAATGAACTATTGTGCTTTGAATCTGCTTTGGCATAATTTGTATTAGAAAGTTTATATAATTCTGATTACAGACGATAGTTTTCGCTCGATAAAATGTGGCTTATCTGTGGAAATGCAGAGGACGTTGTACACTATGACTTATCAAAACACGTGTTTACATTAAATAAAGTATCATTCCTTGGTGTAAGTATTTTTTCGACCATGGAGAATTACATTGAGTTACAATATTTGGACAATAAATATTATCATTGAATTCAAGTTTCAATATAATTTGGTTATTGATTAATTATTTAGTAATTGGTTAAACGCCCATGTATGTAAAATGTCTCTACAGTTTGACTAGTTACTAAGATTGGTACAGTTATCATTCTTTACGATACTACAACTATGATAAATGGATCATCAAGAAGTACTTCATTTCATTTGGCAAAACTAGCTTTCATCGCCGTTGGTTTGACGGCTTCAAGTTTATTTATTTACCATCCAGCTAACTGCCAATCACTTTTAACGGATTTGCATAACTTTAATGTCGTTTTGAGTTGAAAAATGCGGTCAAATACAATCGATTAGTTGACGACATCATATTTCAGTCTTTAAATGTAACCTGAATAGGTCTGAATGGAGTAAAATCGTTTCGCAGTTAGAGGCGTTTCTTATTATTGATAAAATACGTAAATGAACAAGCCTAAATGATGATGTATTCAAATAAGCATTTTATTACGCCGAATTTCATGCTTTTATCGTATAATTATATAGTCTGCTAGTATCAAATTGTATTTAGAAAGCGTGCTCTATAAGTTGTTCAGCTAAAAGCGTTTAAATTAAGAAAAATTGTTATTTTTAAATTACACAATATATTGAGCCATTTTTATTTAAAGAGGAAACCAATTACCAATCCTTTGTGAATTTAGAGGTCCCGTAATCGTAACGGCAAACTTCAATCTAGCCTGAGTTTCCCGGTACGATTATTCTTAAATAGAGGAATTAGAATTGGGCATTTTTCAACACATATAACAACTGCTGAATGTGTTTTTTAATGACTTTGCTACAGATAGACTATCTTTGAAAGATTTATTGTTTCACATCACGTCAAATTACAGGCTGTAATATATAACAATCCTAGTTTGTGAATTTCTGTTATTTTTTAGTTCAAATTTAATGTGATAAACAGTAAAATGTGTTGATTTTTCTGTCTCATTTCAACCCATTCAATTTTATATGGTGTGAAAGGAGATTTCCACTAGATCAATTTAAGAGAGAAAAAACCTAATCGTTATTTCAACATTTAGTTACTATTTTCACTTCTACTGCAAGATCCATATGACTATTTCAATAATTCAGTTATTTAGGCTCATATTTCGATCTTTATTTTTATCTCTCTGTATTAAATGTTGCATATTTCTAGGTTGTATGAAAAATATCACATGACATAATCTTCTCGCTAATCTACAATCATTTCTTTCATTTTCATATTGTTATAAAAATGAGACTGTCGTTATATCTCGAGATTTTGCCATTTTGTAAATATAGATAGGAAACCGCTAATGTGGGCGTGTAAATACAAAAGTAGGGTGATTAGCTTAGTACTTAGATAAGAAATTTAACAGAAGTTATTTTTTTCTGAACAAATTAGGTTTCCTAACTAAACTCTCAATGATAGCGTGGAAATATTTGTCAGTTAAACTCAGTATCCATTTGAGATTTGCAAATATAACACATTCATGTGTATTGGAAAGCTTTATGTAATAAACTAGTGCAGTGGAAGTATAGAAAACTTGAGAATGGCAAGACGTGTCCTTTCTAGAGAAAACGATTTTTTTAAGCTTCTATTGACGGTATAAAAATCTACTGATTAATCTATCTATTAGACGTCGATATCAATGTCTAACTTGGTAATTTTAATCGGACATTTGATGGTCACTTTATCACCATAATGAAGTTAGAAATTACTTTTAATTTCATAATGAGTACCAGACTGAAGTTCTAATGTTTCGTGTAGAAATCTTCCCTTCAAAAATCGCTTGAAGTTTTGATTAGTAACTAAGCATAAATATCAAACTCTATGATAAATGACATGTAGTTCTGGTTCAAATGGTAAAAAATAGGATCAACAAAACACTGAAATCCTCAAACTAGTTTGACATGTAGACGTTTTCGTTAATGATGTTACCTTGAAGAACAATGACAACTTCATGATCAAGCCATCCAACTCAGTGAACAAAACTCTATCAAAATCATCCACCTAAACTATCAATCCTCACCACCTAAAAATTCACATGTGTATTTTCTATAGATGAACAATTCGTTTTACGTAAATTATAATAGTTAGAATGAATCAGCACTTGTAACTATGACCTTTGTCACAGATGTAATTCCAAAAACAATGTTTATATCACATAATTTTTAATGGCCTTTGAAAAGTTGAAGTCCAAAAAACTTGCGAATCATTATCTGTGACCTTCGAAATCACTAACAGACTAAAGATTTCAACCTAATTAGCAAAGTTGTATTATGATCTACATAACTGGGAATAGAATAATACTCAATTGATTCTTTCTGTAACATTTTAGAATTGGATACACTTGAGCCTGTACAAGAAACCCTAATCAAAATAACTTCCGAACTTTAACTATGTTCTCAATAAATGAGTTAGTACTAAAAGATTCTGAAAACTATTTCAAATATTTGGACTAGTTTTATTAGGTCGCACAAATTTGAAGACAGTTACGTGAAACAACTTATACATGTGAGTTTTTACTAGGGATATTAGACATTTAAACAAATATACACAAAGGGACATGTATGGTATCTATCATTTTGTTATCCAGGCTTATATATATCACTTCTCTTGGTTTCAATATTTCCAAGACACGGTGTTTGTCACTGCCTCTATTTTGTCAAGCTCAAATAATATTATTTTTATTCACCTTATTGTTAATGTGACAAGCTTTACTTTAATAAGTTCATCAACAACAATAACAATAAAGGCATAAAGATCAGACTTTATAATTTACCGCAATAAATTATAAACTTATCAGTCCCTTTTTGGTTATGAATATTTCTAAACGCCGTTTCAATTATAATATAATCAAATTAAAAATTGTTTAATTCTGTTCAAGATGTCAGTAATTCCATTATTGCATCACGCAATGTAGAAATGATATATTTGACTATTGAATCCAAGTTGGATATTTTCAATTTTAATAGAGACTTCTAAAATTTTTATGAGCATTAAACTAATTGAGCTTTTAAATTTTTGTTACAGTTAATCTTTCAAGTTAATATTAATGTTCATCTGTTTAAAAGACAAACCGTTAGTTGGCTTGACTATTTGAATCGAATATCTCAATAAGCTATTCAGTAGCAAAATGTACTATGACAGATAACGTACAGTACCTCTATATGAGGGTTTAAAATTAATAAAAATCACACATTACCATTTCATTATGTTCACTTATACCTGTCAAGTATTGAGTGAAATTTTATTGACGCTAGATCATTAGGTTGATCTCAAGTATCTTATTATGTTTGTTTGATCCTATCTTTTCTATTGCTTTTTCTTTTCTTTGACCTTATTTCTTCGTACTGAAATACACGCCCTGGTAATGTTGACCAAGTAAAAATGATTAAATCTCTTCTCGAGATATTCCACGGGAGAATTATTACTGTCAGTGATTTAGATGTAAGGTGTAATTAACATAGCAGCCACTTAAAGTAGATGTTTGAAGTATGACTAATTAAAAATTGATCCATTTGGACAACAAAATTTCAGGTTTAGTCTTATTAAAATTAAGATCACGATATTAAAAGAAAAATGAATCAGTAAAACATGTTATGTTAAATAATTATAAATTAAACGAAATAATTGCGTCTGGTAGGAATTTTCCGATGACTTTTGAATTTCATAAATGAAGTTATAGATTGATCTTAGTTAAACAACTGTTGACAGCCATGAAGTACTAGAAAACTATTTCATCCTAGTATGAAAGTTTCCATCACTATGCCGCACTGACCCTACTGGGGATCTGGAATAAGACCTTCAGGTCTTAAACTAATGACCCACCATCCCATGGTTTACACATTTAATTGAGGTCACTTCGTAAATATAGCGTAACAAACCTCAAAGTTATTGATGTATAACTGCCTCGTATGATATAGTTAAGCTCTACTACCAGGACTTCATGAGTCACCTCTCAAAAATGGTCGTTGTTGATGATATGATGATTAGTTGATTGAGTCGGTTTGTATAGACTGTTGATTTTGGATGCTAGTTCACTGGTATAGAGGTTTTTAATGGATGCTTATCTAAGATCAGTTTATGATGTAATCTACAATATAACTATTTACTTTTTAAAATGTTGTAAACTAAGTACCTGGCGATTATCATTGTTATCAAGTCTGTTAAAAAAATAATACCGATACAAAGATTCATTAACTGTGATTATGGTTATTTCTAAACAGTCACTTTATTTCATTCATAACCTTTCTAGGTAGAAACGCAAACCATTATATATAAGTAAAAAAAACCAACTTCTTAATTTAGAATTCCTGACAATTTGTGTGTGAAACAAACAAACAAATAAACATGAAGTGAACAATTACTACTTAATATATAAGCAATACACAATTTCGTGTTTTATTGATTTATTTTGTCCTCTATTTCACTGCCTTTAAAAAAATATAAACATAAACATAAACATAACTAAACAAAAATCAAAACCTACTTTTCCAGACATCAGTAGTCGCAGTACAAGTAATGACGTATTCTGTGGCATAGTTTCATTTTCACCATGTGCGGTTGTTGCTGTTGTTGATGCGGTTGATGCGGTTGATGATAATAAGAGGGTTGATTTATCATTGATGCCTTGTGATGATTCATCTAATAGAGAATGAGATTTTTCAATTAATTTTGTTTCTAATCTATTGGTTAATCCATTTTTATCGTGATAATTGTTATTTATTGAAATATGATTTGTATTCATTGTTGGAAGTAATGAATTTTGTGCAATATTATTATTGTCATTATTATTATTATTATTATGATTGTGATTACTATTATTGATATAATTACTAGATGTATACAATTTATCACATGTGATATGTGTTGCTTGTATTGGTAAATTAACTGATGTAGGATATGTATGATATGCATTTAATAATGAATTCGTATCATTTGGCTGTACATAACAAAATGACTCTGCATGTTGTGCATAATTAGCATTTGTATAATAACCATTGGTAAGAGTTATTGGTGGACAATAAGGATTTTGTCCAGTTGGTTGTTGTGCTGTCAACATTAGACCTGTTGAGATGTTAGCTGCATTTCCAGGTCCCATTGGATTTGGATGTGGTAATAAAGCAGTGTGAAATGTGGAATAGGGCATCATATCGATATTGTTTGGTATGATATCACCTGACATTCCGACTGTATAAGAAGGTACAACACTTGTAAGTGCCATTCAAAGTGAATGGCTGATAAAAAAAATGAATGATTTTCTGTAAATCGATTGAATGTCTCTAAATAAAATAAAAAAATGCAGAAATAAGGATTACCTAATATATTTATTACACATGAAATTCGAGCAAATAAATTCAAGTTATAAAAAAGTTATTGATTCAAAATTGTTTTATCAGAAATTAGTTAGTTCACTTTACACGCCGATGTATTCAACATCAGCTTCAATGAGTTAGCACCAACACACTCAATGTTTATTGTTTCGTTAAAAACGAAAATAAACATGCTTTAAATCATTCTCAATATTTATAAAAGCATATATTAAGCCTTATTAATTACTAAATATTAGTCAATACCTTTTAAAAAACTTAACAAATACACTTTCCAGCTTAAAAGCATCAGCTGTGTGCAGAAAGTATTGCACTCTTTCTAAACGTTCATCTGGCATGTAATGACTGTTAAAATATGTTATATATTCAAGAACTGATTCGTGTAAACAGTGATTCAATTTTGTTTTCGTGAAAACAGCATCAGCACATAGGTGACACAGGATCAAGAAACAGATCAAAAAGGGGTGTGCAATCAAAACAAAGTTGCGAATAACGACAGGTCAAAAGTCAACAGCAACCAATCAAGATCGAGGTTAGCAGAACAAGCTACAGATCAAACGTGGAGAAATTCGAATGCTTCACTTCTATCTGAAGTTTGTGCTGATGATGTTGTTCAGAAGAACAATGAAAGCTGCACAACCAAAACATTCAGCTCAGAGAACGAAACAACACCACAAACAAATCTGTATTTAACTGTAGCTCTACTGTATGTTAAAAATTAAGAGATGACATTTCTACGTAAAACCAGTGGTGATTTATTGATTTGACATAATTAATCCGAAGCTACCGAATTTCCAAGTGAATTCGTTACAAAATAATACTTTATATTTTACAATGATATCGCTAAACATCAACGATGAAATACTTTGTCCACCTAGAAATCATTAAATATTGTATAACACGATAAACTTTCTTAACATCATGAATAGTCAACAGATGAATTTAATTCACAGTTAAAATTCAGTTAACGACATTGTCTGTATGTTACCTCATAGCCTTAAATTGTTTCTTTTTTATATACATGTTTGTTCATTCATCAGCCAACTACTCTCAATAAATTAACAACAGATTCTATTTGAACCGTTTAATAGTAAAAATGAATTAGAATGAACTATTAGGCAACAGATACCAGAAAAATCATCCTCATTAAGTTAGAAAAATGATTGAAAAGAACTGATGTATTTTGCATATTTAAAGAACTCAATATTTCACTATTATGACAATCATGAATTAATCAATTTTCGACCACCATTAGAAACCTGGAAATACTAGATGTCCTTTTCTTCCTGGTACGGGACTCATCAGCAGTGAGTATCCACGGTTCCTGCCTCTCGTAGGGTTCGAAACCAGGACCTTCAGTCTTGCGTTCTTATGCCTAACCTCTGGAAAACTGAACTGGTACTTAAAGTTGTTAATGTCTAACTCTGATACAACATCATACACTGCCTTCGATGAGCACTGCTTCATATAGCGTATGATGTTGCACAAGACCCTGAATTGAACAGGATTAGACATTAACAACGTTAAGTACCAGTTCAGTTTTCCAGAGGTTAGGCATAAGAACGCAAGACTGAAGGTCCTGGTTTCGAACCCTACGAGAGGCAGGAACCGTGGATACTCACTGCTGATGAGTCCCGTACCAGGGCGAAACAGCCATCCATTGTTTCTAGGTTACTAATGGTGGTCTAACGTTGATCGATTCATGATTTAATTAAGTACCTCAGTAATATCCACAACCCCAAAATGCATATTATGGTAATGTTTAAAACAATGTTTTGTGTTTTTCTGATTTAAGAAGACAACTAATAGTTATATTGAAAGATTGCTTAAATCTTCTGAGTTGACTAATAGTGGGTTTCTCATAAAACAAAATTGTATGTAATGGATTTTAAATTTTTAGGTGGTGACTGTACATTTGGCTTTATTAGATTTTGTCTAAAATTCACTCAATAAATCGAACATTCTTCACTTGATTCAGTTTCAATAATGTCATTAAATTGTAGAAAAATGTATATCCATATATGTAGGTTTACATATTTTATAATATAAAAGACTTCCTTCTCATTAAAGAACGAACAACAACAATTATATACAATTTTTGATATCTGTGTGAAGGTCTGTCATAAGTAAAACACTTGATCTACAACTAAACAACTGATTATGATTGTCATCGTCAAGCTAGTGAAGTTATTATTCAAATAATTACTTAAACTGGTATTAGGTATGATTAATTACTGTCCATTTTTAATGGACAGTTGTTCCAAATAAAACAAATGATATGTATCTTACCTCATATTAATCCTTATTGTATTATTGAAATGCTCACTAAGTGTTCTCTAAAATTCACTCAACCAGTTTAGTTTTTATGATGTCAACAAACGCTCAAATCGAATGTTCGATTAAATAGACTTTATTTACTGTGATTGAAATGGTATAAGTATTCTTAAAATCATTGTTCACGGACTATGAACTCAATAATGTATATATGAGAATTTGTATAAACATAGTCAAACAATTCAAATGATGTTTCATGGTTTAATTTTTATCGTTCTATTGAATTTATTACAAAACAAATAACAACCTTTGAGCGCAGCTAAGTAAATACGAATATTAGCAATCAATTCATGAATGCATGAATTGATCTCTTGAACAATTTTTTTTTAGATAAAATAATCTAATTTAATGAAAGACCAACTTGATAAAATAAAAAATACGCAAACCATTCTCTGAAGTTAAATAACACGCAACAGTTGTTTCTTTTTCGACACAGTAACAGAACAAATAGTTCATACTTACCATTTTTCTATATAAACGATGCATACATAACCATTCACTGTTAATTGATTAGAAATTTATAAATGAAAAAAGAAATAGTAGCATCATATTTGTTCTGATCACTTATAAGTAAACAATAAAATCGTAATGTATAAATAACTTCAGCTCATGTTGACGCCCACCTCTTATAACATACAATACTGTTAAAACTAATGGAAATCGCTTATAAGTTCGTTTCACAGATTTAAAAAATAATATTTTGTCAGTAAAATCAATGCAGTCTAACTCATTCTGAAGAAATCAACTATCAGTTGGTCATCAGTGTTGTTATCCGACTATTTTATTGCACGTTAGCTAGTTGTTCATTGTATTTCTTCCGTCTTTATAGTACACTTAAAACTTTTCATCAGCTATTAGATAATCTAGTTTTATTGTTATAGATAATTCATTGCTCATTATTTTAAACAGTTTCTAAGTACTATTTTCATTAACAGAAATTATTCAATATTTCCTGAAATTCAATTAAATTAATAAACGAATGACTGGACTTCCTTATAGTCTGACTCGTTTATAACTCATTTCATAATCAATCTTAATGTATCAGTATGTAGAAAGAAGATCTTATTAAACTTAATAATTCCATACATTGAACTAAGTAGTTTACCATATATAATCTCTTAATGCTGGGAAACAGATTTAGGTATTTTCCGATCGATGAAACTAACTACTATTGAGAATTTAACAAAATTAAACTTTAATTTTTTACATTAGTATTCGATTCATAGTACACATTATCTTTAATTATTTGATAGCGAAATATTTGTCTTAAATGTCTATTTGCAAATAAATATTCGAAGAAATATTTCTGTTATTCAATAATCTCTGAAACCATTGAATTAAATCTTTGTAAATTAGTGCTTTTATTATCGAAATCTAAACTTAAGTCTTTGTTGAACTTAAATAATCCGATAACATTTGTATCATTTCATGAATTTTTCTAAATTACCTTATTCTGACGTAAATATTATACTTGATTAGATTGAAAAAAATTTCAAACCATTTCAAATTGACCATGCCTAAACTCAAATCAATAAATTATACTTGTATATCAGTAAGACATTTTTAAAATCTCCTACAGTCGATCGATAGTGTGGATAGTTCGTTAAACTACTTACAGGTGACCTATTTTCATATTATCTTTTACCATCTTAATTAAATTAATTTCTACATTTTCTTTGGAAAAAGTTAACAAACATTTTTTTATAAGCAATGAAATTATTATATTTTCATCGAAAGCTAAGGTATCCACTTGTTTACGATTCGCTGGCTAATTTATTTTTACTAGAGTTTATCAATTTCCGATGAAACATGGAAGATGATATTCTATAAAATTAGAAGCTGGCCAACAAAGCTTTCATATGCGACAGGTATTTCGAGTACTGCTTACAAAATAAGCCTCTAATAATCTACACTAGATGCTGAGCATTTAGGCATGAGACTGACACTGTAATATATGTTCTCATCTTCAAGTAATTTGGAACACAATACATATATCATCTAACGACAATAGAAAGTATGGATTGTATTGTCGAAATCTGAATTTTTATCATAACGTCGAAAAAAATGAATCAAGTCCAATCATTCCTGAAAGCATAAAGTCTTTGAATTGTTATAGGTTTCAAATAAAAACATAAAAATGGAGCTACAGTTTATGGTTTGAGTTGTGTTTTCTTCATATTCAGCTCCGTTTGATTTCAAATTAGTTTATAAACAATGTAATTTACTGATTAGGTGGTAAAGTATTATATACCAAAACCAGACAAATACGTAACAGTATTATCATGTTAAATATATATTCATCAAGCATTCTGTAATTGTGAATAAATGCCATTTTCAGTACAGGGATTATATCTTATCAAATCAGTTAAACTTTGATTAACATTTGCTGATAAACATATGTGTTTTTTTTGCTTTCCATCATGAATATGATGATTCATGATCGGTGAGTTGATTTTATCGATCAGTAACATTACGCACCGATGTATTTAAAAGTGACGATAAATCACAATGAATTATGACATTTTTCTCAACGATGATTTTCAACATTTGAAAATCGGTGATGAGGAACTCCATATGACTGCATCTCCAAAAAAAAAAGATTTTCAGAACTTCAATTC